TCAGTGAAGTGAGAATCGGGCGCCCCCACCTCAGGGGGCAGCTAGAGCAGAGCCACTCCCTTAAAGCAGCCCTGCGCAGCTGCTCTGGTCCTTCCCTCAAAGAGCGCTGCCTTCTGGGGAGACCAGGGTGAAGCCTGTTCACTGCCCCTTGCTTTGGCTGCAGAAAGCAAAAAGCTTCAAGTCTGCGCATCTGAAAAGCTGAGGCTGCGGGTAGGGAGTGAGAGGGCGAAGGGCCTTCTCCCCAACACAGGCATCCTGCATGCAACCCCCGGACCTCACAGAGGGTGAGAGGAAGCGGGCGCCTCAGGAAGGGTTGCCAGGGGAGCACACGACACCCGCACGAGTCTCGCAACGGTCTGTGGCCGCCATGGCCTGGCCGCTGCCAGGGCGTTGGCGGGGTGCAGCCTCCCGTGGATGCCCTTTGGGTTGAACTGAGTTGCTGCGCAGAGGTGAGGGGGCTGTTGTTTATTTAACTATTATTCCCCGTGTACAACTCTTCAGGCTGTGACCTCAGTAAACGCACCTGCGCTGCTCTGGCCTGCCACGGGCCCCGCAGCTGCGCTGGCCTTTTGGGGTGACTAGTCGCTGCAAGTCGGGCATCATATGCCCAAACTCAGGGTCCAGGTAGACTTATTACCTCCACCCGAGGGCCCGTGCCCATAAAATGGGGGGTGATGACAGCACCCACCGCCTTCGCGAGGTTCCTGTGGATTAGACAAGCATGTAGGATGCACGTACAGTGGCCCCATGGAGCTTCACGCAGAACCCCCAAAGTGCTCCCAACTGCACTGCCCAGACTCGAGGCACATCACAGTTCCTATTTCTGTATCTCTGAAACCAGGAACCCCCTCTTTTTGCTATGTCACTATGCCTCGTGAGCTTCCCAGCACGGGTGGTGAACGCATCCAACGTGGAGGGACCCAAGAGTCTCTCTTACTAGCCGTCACCCTTGAAGATGACAAATCCTATCTGCACAGCCATTTCTTGCTTTACTTTTGTAACAGAGCCTTGCTCCATAGAGCCAGCTGCAAATGAGCCACAGTGCATCCCCGTTAGGGCTATTTCCAGCGTGGCAAACATTCAGTTCTGGTTGAACCTCACAACAGGCCCACAGCTAGCTAATGGGGGGGGGGGTTCATCACACTTTATAATCACTAATCACTAGGTTCTCTGGCCACGTCGCTGGTGAGGGCATCAGCACCCAGCTTACGAAAGGGGTACAGCTGGGGAGGGGGCCCAAGCGAATCACAGCTGGACAAAGGAAGCCTTGAAGAGGGAAGGGAGGCGCTGCAAGAGGGCCCTCTGGCCCAGAGAGGGAGAGGCCAGCTGCACGCCAGAAGGCAGCCGTGGGCCCCCTGCACCCCAGACTGCGTGGGCAACCGTGCAGGGCTGAACAGTGTCACCCCGCAGTCCTGCTGCCCTGGCCTACCTGCCACCTCACTCTGGGGGCTGGGCTCTGGGGACGGCACCTGGCTCGTTCTGGCTCCTAAGTCAAGGGTGTCCTGAGTTGAGACATACTTTTCTGAGCTGTTTTGCAAAATGCTCTGGTCTTTTTTTTTTTTTTTAGTCACATGCTTTCTTTAAATAAATGGGTCCTGATTTTTTTGTGTGTGTGTGGGTGTTCCAGGGCAACGTCCAGTGAAAACTCCAAACCCAGCTGCCAAGCCACACACATCGTGGTGTTGCCGACACTGGCTCATGGGGTGTGTCCGCCGGCGGCTTCTTCGGCAGGGCCCCCGGACAGCTCTTCTCTGCCGGCTCTCTGCTCTTTCCCCTCTGGTCCCTGAGGCGGGCGGTGGCAGAGTGCCTGTGCTCGGGGCTCCAAACACCAGCAATGTGACCCTCACAGCCCTGCAGGCCAGGCGTAGAAACCGACGTGCTGGCCAGAGGGTGGTTCTTTGGGGGGCTCAGAGGGCCACTCTCCCCCATGCCTCTCTGCTGCTCCTGGGACGGACGGCAAGTCCCTGGCCCCGACTTGCCCCTCACCTCTGCGATCTCTGTCCACCTCCTGCACGTGTCCGCCCGTCTGCAGCTGCGCTGTCTTCCGCTTCTTCAAGGCCCCACCGCGGGGCAGGGCCTGCTCGGACCTGACTCTATCGGCAAAGGCCTGTGTGCCGATAAGGTCGCATCATAGGCCAGAGGTGACACTTGAACATCTTCCCTGGGGGGACACGAGTCAACCTCCCCCACTCTTCTCCTTCCCTTATTCTGCCATGTCTGCTCCGTCCGGGTCCTTCGCTTCAGCCATTCCCAGTCAAACACTTCTCTTACATCCAGTGAGTATCTCTTATTTATCTTCACTAGTCTCGGGAGGCCTGCTCTGAGCCCCGTTATTCTATCGTTGGCACAGAGAGGCCAGGTCTCTTTGAGCACAGAAGGCCCAGAGCCCAGGGGCCATGATACTTTAAGCCAAACGTTTAATTGCTTTCAAAATCAGGAAAATAATGGATATCATTATTCCATGAGCATGGTCATACAAGTTTACTTTTTTTCCTAAGGAGGAAGCTGCCCATAGGTTGAAGAGCCTCAGGCCCACGAGGGAAGTGACAACTGCATTCCATTTGTAGATGTAGCACGTGTGCGAGGAAAAGACGGGAGGTGCTAATGTACCCCACGAAGGGGCCATGCGACTCTGCAGGCCAGAGCCAGGCCCCCGCTCAGTGCTCACCGTGACGGGCCATGCGGCACGCAGAGGAGAGTGCAGGAGATGTTTCCACGGGCCGCAGTCACTCGCCCCTTCTGTGACCGGAGCCGTGGGTCAGCTCCCATCAGGCTTTGCTGCCTGATAACTTGCCAAGCAACCAACAACTCAGACCTTTAGGCCTGCGGAGAGGGCCGGGGCTCAGCCCGACAGGGTCTGCCTAGGGAGCCCACCCTGCGCCTCTGTCCAGACGCCGGGCTGCGGTGCTGGGGCGCGTCTCCCTTGTTTTCAGCATGTTTCCTTGTCTCTTTCAAGCGGGGTGAATTCCTTGGTGACTGGTGCTGGGTGCTAGACCCTCCCTGAGAGCTGGAGCGTCGGAAATGCCAAGTGCAAAGACTGGGCTTCCCCACAGCTGAATCAGCCCAGGGAGTGTGGGCGTGGGCCAGCTTTGCCGGGTGTTGGCTGGGCCAGTGTAACCCCGAGATAGTTTCTATGAGCCTGGCCTGGGCGAGGGTAAGGAGGGCACCGCACTGTACCTGGGTGCCACATTGGAGGGGGCAGGGTGCCCCCAAACCCAGTAATCAAGCAATAGGCTACTGTTTTGATCCTTTGAAATCCAGCTGTGTGGCTGCCTGCTGCAGTAAGTCAAGTTCGATTGGACCCAGAACCAGAAGAGGCGGTGAAGCGACGGCTGGGAAGGATCAGAGTCTGTCGTTGTTTTAAATGACATTCTGCTCATCAGAGATTTTCGTTTTTTTAAAGTCTCCATCTGGACGACTGCACTTTGCACCCGAGGTCCTGTCAGGGCGCGGGGCTGGTCCCGGAGCTGGGGACGGATGCGGTTGCACACTGTCCGCTGAGCCTCTCCTCTGTGGCCGGGCGCCGAGACCCAGGCCGGACGCAGGCTCTCGGAGCCCACCTGGAGCCCACCTTCGAGACAGTAAGTCTCAGAGCGCCAAGAGGCACCTTCTCACACCCTGCGCCAAGTGTCGAGGGTGCCGCTTTGCGCTGTCAGGTGCCCTTGGGAGTCTCTGCAGGCAGCTGCGATGTGAGGAGACTTGGCTCCGGCTGGCCTGGGCTGCAAGCCCGCCCCTTCTGCGGGGCACCAACTGCTCCACCAACTGCCTGCTCTCTGCGCTGCAGCTTGGTGCCCACCCCCTCTGCCTGGCTCCCCTCAGGCCCTCTGGCCCTCCAGAGAGCTCCCTCCACCAGCACTTAGAAGAGCCAGAGGGGCCAGGCTCTCCCCCTAGGCCCTCTCTCTCTGGGCCTAGCTGTCTGCTGGACAGAACCTTCCAGGCTATCCGTGCCGCGGCCCTGTGGCCTGCACAGCTGCCAGTCTCTTCTGCTGTGGCGCCTGCTTTGTGCTTGCGGCTCCGCCTTAGCCAGCACGCGTGCCCTTCCCACTGGGCTTCTGCTTCTCTGACCTGCTTTGGGATCCGCCACTTGGGCCCTCAGAGCAGTGGGTGTGGCCAGGGAAGCGCCTGGCCAGTGTCAGCCTGCGGGGACTGGGGCTCTGCTCTCTCTTCTCGGATCCAGCTGCGTGAGGTGAGGTGAGTGGTGTTCTCCTGGTTCTGCCGTGTGGACACAGCCGGGCCTTCCACCAGGGGAGGGCCTGAGGTGGAAAGAGAGGCCAGCACAGTAGGGGTTCAGGCCTCAACGTCCACGCTAGCCATGCCGCTCACCACTTTCCGCTCTTCCCACCACATGCTTCCCTTCAAATTGGGATTCTGTGGAACTTGTCAATCCGTATTCTTACCTCAGGACTCTTCCAAAGGGAACCCCCCTCTGCGCTATTCTCATCAGGCCCGTGCCCCAACCTTTAAGATGCTTCAGACTCTCTGGGAGGCTGTTTTCTCGACCTGGGGAATCAACTTCAAAAGGCCTCTCCGCTGGTCTCTAGCGCCTCCTAGAGGCTCCTCTCAATTGCTCAGCGTCATAGGGGAGGCTGAGCGCCTTTGGAATCCCACCCAGGCCTCACCCTGAAGCCGGTGAGGCCACACAGGGCCGACCACTGTCCGGACCCACCCAAGTGGCACCAGGAGTGCTAGCTGACCGTAGCCGGGCCAGCAGCCTACCCGACACAGTGGCGGCATCATAATTCCTCCACAAGAGTTGTCCTGATTTTGTCAGCAACACAATCTCAGACAATTTTGCAGTCAATTTCTTGGGGCCCCCAAACCTGAACACTAAAAACTTAGACTCGTTTGCAAACTAATTTAATGCGTTGATTTAACTGTTAGGAGAGCTCACTCTTCAGGGCTCTCCGGAGGACGGGTCGGCACTGTCATGACAGCACGAAGTGGCCGCCGATGCTGCTGGCCTGACGTGCTGCTTCCATTTTGATTTTCCCTAGGAAAACATGGCCCTTCGGTCTTCGCTGCTGACCTGCCTCTTCCTGCTAACCTCCGTTTCCTGTGAGTTCTTTGCCAGGGCGAATTATTCTAGGCGTTATCCTTGTGACGAGAAAAAGCAAAACAACTCTGTGATTGCAGAGTGCAACCACCGTCGCCTGCGAGAAGTTCCCAGAACCCTGAGCAAGTACGTGACTGAGCTGGACCTGTCGGATAATCTCATCACACTCGTGACCAATGAATCGTTTCAGGGGTTACACAGTCTCACTAAAATCAACCTTAATCACAACACCAACATCCAGCACCAAAATGAAAACCCTGAGCTGAACAAGAACAGCATGAACATCACAGACGGGGCCTTTCTCAACCTCCAAAGCCTCGAGCAGCTACTGCTGGAAGACAACCAGTTAGACAAAGTCCCAGCGGGCTTGCCAGGGTCTTTGAGAGAACTTAGTCTCACTCAAAACAACATCATTTTCGTCACTAAGAAGAACATGTCTGGGCTTACAAATCTCCGCCGTCTCCTCTTGGACTGGAACTGCTATTTTGGCAATGCATGCAATAAAAGCGTCATCGAAAACGGGACGTTTGAAAGGCTGACGCAGCTGAAGGTGCTGTCGCTCTCTTTTAACAACCTGCACTGCGTGCCGCCCCAACTGCCTCCCTCACTAAGAGAGCTTTATCTCAGCAATACCCAGATCAAAAGCATCGGCCTAGGAGACCTCAAGGGCCTGGAGAACTTACATGTGCTCGATTTAAGCGGGAACTGTCCGAGGTGCTTCAATGCCCCGTTTCCATGTAAACCCTGTGAAGGTGATGCCTCCATTCAGATTCACCCCCTGGCTTTCCAGAGCCTGCAGAAGCTGCGCTACCTGAACCTGTCCAGCACATCGCTGAGGAAGATCCCGGCAAGCTGGTTTGACAATATGCCTTATCTGAAGGTGCTGCATCTCGAATTCAATTATTTAGTGCAAGAAATAGCATCTGGGGAATTTTTAACCAAACTGCCCTTCTTAGAAATACTTGACTTGTCTTTTAACTACAGAAAGACGGCCTACCTGAGCCATATGACAATGTCCCCAAATTTCTCTAATCTCACGTCTCTCCGAACTCTGCACTTAAGAGGCTATGTGTTCCAGGAGCTCCGAAAAGAGGACTTCGGGCCCCTGATGAGCCTGTCCTCCTTAAAGACCATCAACCTGGGCATCAACTTTATCAAGCAAATTGATTTTAGTATTTTCCAGCATTTCCCCAACCTGACCATCATTTACCTGTCAGAAAACAGAATATCCCCCCTGGTGAATGACACCCGGCCGGAGCATGGGAACGGCTCCTCCTTCCAGAATCACATCCTGCAGCCACGCTCAGCGGGGGTGCCGTTTGACCCACACTCGAATTTCTACCACCACACCAACCATTTGATAAAGCCCCAATGCATGGCCTACGGCAAAGCCTTGGATTTAAGCCTCAACAGCATTTTCTTCATCGGGGAAAAACAGTTCGAAGCTTTCCGCGACATCGCCTGCTTAAATCTGTCCTCCAATGGCAATGGGCAGATGCTCGACGGGACGCAGTTTGCAGCTGTGCCCCACATCAAATACTTGGATCTGACGAACAACAGGCTGGACTTCGCTGACGACCGGGCGCTCAGCGAACTGCGAGAGCTCCAGGTGCTCGATCTCAGCAACAACGCGCACTACTTCCGAATCGCCGGCGTCACGCACCGCCTCGGCTTCATTCAAAACCTGACACAGCTCAAGGTGCTCAACTTGAGCCGCAACAGCATCTACACCCTGACAGAGTATCAGCTGAGCAGCGTGTCCCTGCAAGAGCTGGTTTTCAGCGGCAACCGCCTGGACCTCCTGTGGAACGCGGACGACCGCAGGTACCGGCAGCTATTCCAGTGTCTCAGGAACCTGAGCCGGCTCGACTTAGCCAGCAACAACCTACAGAAGATCCCTGACGAGGCCTTCCTTAACTTGCCCCGCCACCTCACCGAGCTCTATCTGAACGACAACATTCTCAATTTCTTGAACTGGTCGCTGCTGCAACACTTCCCGCATCTCGACGTGCTCGACCTGAGCAGAAACCAGCTTTCCTTCCTGAGCAGCAGCCTGTCGAAATTCACATCTTCTCTTCGGACCCTGCTGCTGAGTCAAAACAGGATTTCCCAGCTGCCCCCAGGCTTGCTTTCGGAAGCCAGCAGCCTGCGACACCTCGACTTAAGTTCCAACCTGCTGAAGATGGTCAACAAGTCCACGGGCCAAAGCAAGGCCACCAGCCTGGCCGTGTTGGCGCTCGCCGGGAACCCCTTTGACTGTACCTGTGACATCGGAGACTTCCGAATCTGGATAGACGAGAACCTGAACGTCACCATCCCCCGGCTGACAGACGTCATCTGCGCCAGTCCCGGCGACCAAAGAGGGAAGAGCGTCATGAGCCTGGAGCTGACGACCTGTGTCTCAGACACCACCGCGGCCATCCTCTGCCTCTTCACGTCTTTCGTCACCACCGTGGTCATGCTGGCAGCCCTGGCTCACCACTGGTTCTACTGGGACGCCTGGTTTATCTACCACATGTGTCTAGCTAAGGTCAAAGGCTACCGGTCTCTCGCCACGTCGCAGACTTTCTACGACGCCTACGTCTCGTACGACACCAAAGACGCCTCCGTCACGGACTGGGTGATCAATGAGCTGCGCTTCCACCTGGAAGAAAGCGAAGACAAGAACGTGCTCCTGTGCTTACAGGAGAGGGACTGGGATCCAGGGCTGGCCATCATCGACAACCTCGTGCAGAGCATCAACCAAAGCAAGAAGACGATCTTCGTCCTGACCAAAAACTATGCGCGGAACTGGAACTTCAAGACCGCGTTCTACCTGGCTCTGCAGCGGCTCATGGATGAGAACATGGACGTGATCATCTTCATCCTGCTGGAGCCTGTGCTGCAGCACTCCCAGTACCTGCGGCTGCGGCAGCGCCTCTGCAAGAGCTCCATCCTCCAGTGGCCCGACAACCCCAAGGCGGAAGGCTTGTTTTGGCAAAGTCTGAAGAACGTGGTCTTGACTGAAAATGACTCACGCTACAACCGGCTGTACGTCGACTCCATTAAGTAGTGCTCACTGCTCTGGCGGTGCTCACAGACCCAGACACAGGCAAAGCCCCCACCCCGCCGCCTCAGATACCGACTGCTGTGTGAGCTGGGCTTCACGGCGCCGTCTCCCGGAGGGTGCCATCCAGGTGCCAGCTGGGCTTGCAGGTATCTCCAGGGGTGAGGGCCACCTCGACACTCGGCTCACGGACGGCTTCAGGATTCAGTCCCTCCCAGGCTGCTGGCCAAAGACGGCTCACGGTGCCCTGCGCGTGGATCACTCCCACAGGGCCGACTGCTTCCTCAGAGCCGCGAGTGGGACTGGTGGCCAAGGGGAAGTCGTCTGTGTCACCCCACCAGGGGAGCGTGTGCTACCGCCTTAGCCAGTGTCGTGGCCAGAAGGCCGTCACAGGCCCTGCCCGCTCCCCGGTGCTCACCTCAGCCCGGGAACTGCTCTCTGAGCCCGACGGCTGCCAGCTGGTTTCTGGATCGGGAACACCAGCTTGGCTTGTCCACAACTACTTCCAGCAGGATTGGTACCACAGCTGACGTCTGAGGATGCCACGTATGGGTCGTTTGCAGAGCTTGTTTTAAACTTCTCTACCATTTTCTTAAAGTGTGCAGCTACATTAAGAGCTTCTGCAGAAGCTGTCAACTGCCACTGCTGTGAATCTTGAATGATGGAAGACGCCTCATTTCACACGCTGAGCAGATGAGAACACACAGTAGGGAGGGAGGACTGTGATGTGAAGGAAATTGCCAGTGCGCTGAGTGTTCCGCAACTACTTTCGACAATTAATTGGGAGAGATCAAAGGGGAAGTGGTTTTCATGAACTCTGTACATTAAGATAATTAGTGCAGAGAAATTGATTTTCGATTCTTCTAGCTCCCGGGGTCTGCTGCTCTCTCGGGTGCCCCTCGGCTTGTGTCACTGCGATGGCTGCCGCCACTGCCACACGGTTCTGGCCCCTCCGTGTCGCTCTTTTCTCACATGGGCGCCAGGCACACGGGCTCAGGCTCCATGACATCCGACGTGGGCTCCTTTTAGCTAGCCGCAAGAGCACCCACTCCGTTTCCCATGGAGGTCCCCCTGGAGGGACCCCACACAGTCCGAGCAGGTCACAGTTCAACCTCGCACAGCCCGGGCTTTTCTGGGCTAGAAATGATGAGAACTCCGTGGCAGTCACAGATGCCCTTGTGAACGAGAAAGTCATTTGTGATCGCTGGCAGAGGAAAGGCAAACTCCCGCTCACCTGTAAATAAAGCTGTCATGGCGACGTGCGTGTGTCCGCGGTCACTGTCCTGGGACCTACGGCCACAACCGTGTCCATTCTTTCCCACGGTTGTGTTCCCTCCCTTTCTGCCTTTGTGTGCTTCCAGGAGAGAGGGGGTCTCGGGGACCCCATGCCACCCTCCACCATCACACTGGGGTCTTAGAGAAACGAGGGGCGGGGTGGCTGGCTCCGAACCAAAGGAAACCTCGCAGGACTCGCGCCAGCGCCCACATGGCAAATGCACTTTCAAATGTCTCTCCCGTGTACACAGGAAGAGGTCAACATTCTTAACGCAGAGCCTTCGAGTTCCTAATATACACATCTACAAGCACAATCCCACTAATGAGAGCAGACTGCTTCTGGCGGAGCCACTCTGTATTTTTTTAGCGAGAAAGGCATTTATGGGAGTAGAAAGAAAAGGCTCCTCTGTCTTATGGTCCCTTCCTGTGGCCAATGTCAGGGATGATTCCTTATTTATTTCAGTAAGGAGGACACCAGAGCGTGGAGACGATCGAGAACAATGTTTGAGTTTGCAAGGAAGGCCGGAAGGCCTCAGCGCCGCCGGCCAGCAACAGCGCTCAGCACCGACTTCCTGCGTCTCCGCCTCCCCTGGCCGTTCACGGAGCACTCTGGATTTGAGCTCCACATTCTCTCCCACCCACCTTCCATCTCCATCTCAGCCATCTGCCTCCCTGGTCCCCACCCCCAGCCTCTCCCCTGGCCTCTGCGTGTCTGCTGCAGCTCTCCAAGCAGCAGCCAGAGTGACCCTTGAAAAGGTGTGGTCTCGTCCGAATTAAGTTTAAGATCTCGGCTGTCCTGCTTGCCTGTCCCTCTTCCAGCCTCTGCTCTGAGCTTCCCATGCATACGTTAAGGTTTCCAGAGGCTTCTGTGGGGTATTTACTGATGACACTGTCTTAAAACCACATGACTGTGTTTCTGACGATGTCTGTGCGAGTCATGCACCAGCCCGCTGAGGGGATACAGTCTGCGAAAACGCCCCCTGAAACTGTCAAAGTGCTTCTTCTGGTCTTCCTGCTGCTCCAACTTAGCCGACAGCTGTGCATCCTTACCAGCCCCGAGGCGCCCATTCCAAAAGGAATGCTCACCATAATTCATGAGAACATGGCCCAAAGAGAGTGTAAACCACTAGACGAGTGCATCCCCTTCCTCATTACTGATACACTTTCTGCACGAATAGCTAGCTGTCAGTGAAACAGCCACAGCAGCAGGGGATGGGGCCCAGTCTGGATTTACCACCACCAGGGGGCGCGCGATTCTTTCTCACGCGGCAACACCCATCACGGCCACGAGATGGCAGCAAAGACCCGTCCAAAACGGGCGCCTTCGCTTGCGCCCCGGGTGTGGAAACTGCTTTGTTTCCTCTGAAAGCTGGCTTCTCACCAGCCTGAGGACTCACCTCCTCCCCCCAGCACCACCACAGCCTCTGGGCCAGTGTCCCGGAAGGTCACAGTGCTGATGAAAGGCTGGGTCTGTGCCACTCAGAGAACGGGCTCTCATCAAAAGCGAAGCTGGGGGGAATCTAAACTCTACTGTCCGAACCCCCAATGTCTAGGCTTGATCAAGGAGACACTGACTGCTAAACTGGGTGGGGGTGGGGTGGGGTGGGGTGGGGGTTTCTTATTGGCTCTTGGTGATGTCAGACAGGGCTGGGAGAACAGGTTTTCCTGGTGTGGGGCTTTATTCCATGAAACATCTTCTAGAAAATGCCCCTGGGCCTTTCACCTCTCGGGAGCCAGGCGCCGCCTGCGGTAACTGGATACCAAGCTTTTCCCTGCCTGGCTCTTTAGAAACCACGGGAGACCCAAGACCTAGCATGTGACACAGGAGGAAGGAAAAGGCGCTGTGGTGTACACAGAGTGCCGCCCTGCGAGCTTCTGTGTGGATGCCAGGGTCTGGCAGCCGGGCTAGGGAGAGATCCCCGAGGTTCAAGGGGAGGTGTTGCTGGAGGGCAGTCCTTGCTCTGGGTTGTGCCAGCCTCTTCTCTAGTTGGAGTTCCTTATGCCCTGAGCACGTTTAAGATAACACCCCAAGCTGAATCCGCCGGGTGCAGAGGACCCTGTGTGAGCGGAACAGAAAGCAAACATGCCTCCCCCCAACCCCCAATTGCCAGTTGCTTCCAGAGGCTCCCGCCTGCCCTTTACTCTTGCTGAAGGAAGCGCTTGCATCGCTGACCCTCCTGGGGGCCTTTGTCTTTGGCAAGGTTGGGCCTCTCCCCACCTGGCCCCCTTGCTTCCGATCTCTCCAGCCCCTGCCAGGATGCTGCTCCCCTTTCCCCTAGGCTGGGGGCTCCCACACAGTTCAGCCTAGGTCGCTGTCAGGGGCATCACGCTGGGACACCCCTGCAGGCCGTGACCTGGGTGAGCCCCACGAAGCCTCACTTCCAACACCTTCAAGGGCCGCCCCCACCTTCATGGTGGCTACGCGGCTGTACGCGCTGTGAGGTCCCACCATTCTCTTCGACGGCTAAACGGCTGCACGCTCAGAGCGCAGAGGTGGAGGCGGTAGCCCAGGGTCCTGTAGGGGTGGCAGAGCCCAGGCCGGCGCGGCCCCCTCCACGCCGGAGCCGGTGCAGATGTGACCTCAGGTCCCAGCCGCCTGCCTGCGCCTCAGCTCTGGCAGAGTGCCCTCAGGCGGTCTCACCTCCACCACCACCCACCCATTTCGGAACAACACTGAAAAGGCCGGTGGGTGTCAACACTGAAAAGGCCGGTGGGTGTCAGGCCTACGTATTGCAGGAGCCGCTTCACCTGGGAGGCTGGGAGCTCGGCTGAAGGCCTTACCGAGGAATCTCTCTCGTGGGAGAGACAGACAGAGGCCCCCAGATGTCCCCAGCTGAACCCTCAGAACTGAGGATGCAGCTGGAATGGGAACAGGAGAGGGTCCTGGATCTTGCAGAGTGGGGGGCATCATGGCCCCTTAAAAGCCCGAGGGAGGCAGAACCCACTGGAACCCTGCTGCTGTGGAGGGGAGGAAGGGGCTCAGTCTACAGAAGCCGGAATGGGCTGGAAAGGAGGTTCGCCCCTGAGCTACAGATGGGGACCCCGCCCTCATGTACCTGGGCACCGTTTCTGGGCTCCAGAACTCTAAGGGGCGCGTGCGTGTTGCCTGAGAGGCTCAAGGCGGGGTCCCTGGCTCTGACCGCATGGGAAGGCACTGGCGAGACCTGCAAGGAGGTCTCGTTTCTATGTCTCTCTAGGCCTCTCCTCCGGAGTCCCCAACACCCAGCCTCTGCAGTTGCTCCGGTCGGAATCCCTGACCTCCCTGCAGTCTGCAAGCAGATGGCCCAGGGCAAGGACAGTGTTCTCAACACTCCCGCCTCCCTCCCGCGCACAGCTCCTTCCCCCAGACCAGCGCCTCACTCTCCTCAGAACATGTGAATGTGCCAATAAATAACCGAAGCAGAGCTTGCCTCTGACATCCTCGAGGGAGCGGCGCCTCTTCACCCCAGAAACCCAGGCGCCGCGCTGTCGACACTCCAGGACAGCTCAAAGCCACTTGAGCTGCCTGCCCCCTTCCTACAGTGCCTGCCGGCCGCCTGGCAGGAAGAGCCAGCAGCCT